TAAGTGCCGCCATGCCAATTTTTTTATATGTTCCTGTAAAAAAATTAGCATAGTACACTTACAAAAGCACCTTGCGGGGGGAGGGCATGGTTGGTAAACAAATGTAGAAGGTGCATATTTTTTGTGTAAAATACGGTTGTAACTCAGACTTTTCAATTGGTGAGATTTCAGTGATGGAAGTAACACATACTAATAGTAACTTTAAAACTAAAACTCAAACCAGTTGCCGAGTCAGTAATGACTCATGGTGACACCATGTGTTTCAGACTAGAACTGCCCTCCGTAGGATTTTCCATGACTGTGGCCTTTTGGAAGCAAATCACCAGGCCTTTCTTCCAAGATGTCTCTGGGTGGATTCAAACTGCAAACCTTTTGGTTAGTAGCCAAGTGCTTAACCAAATAGTAACCATAGCTAACATTTATTGAGTACTTTGTAAGTGTAAAGAATTGCCCTAAGCTCTGTTTATTGTTTTCTAATGTACTCCTGACACGAGGCTAATGCAGTATAATTATTACCTTCTAGGTATAGATGAGGAACAAGCACTGAGAGATTAGGTAACTTGCCCCAGTCTCAGAGGTAGACATAGTCAAGGGAGGTTTCAAACCTAAGTAGATAGGTTTCAGTGCTTGAGCTTCTCAACATAGTACATTTCCACACCTGCACCCAGTCAGGGCAGTCTACTGGAGTCATCTATCCTTGTTAGCTTTCTAAACTGGCTGATTCTGGCCCTCTTCTTCTAAACCTGCAGACTTTCTGAAAGCCTTAATTTTCTAGACCAGTCATTTCTAAATTTTTCTTATTGTACAGGTTTCCCCGCTATCCGTAATTAGAGCATTCCTGTGAAACCTTTCATAAGCCGAAATGGCATAAAGCAAAGAGGCAATTACCATTAATTTACATGGGAAAAATTTTGAGTGTTCCCAGACCCCAAAAATAACCTACCAAATCGTACTGAATAACACATAAAACCTAAAATAACACTAACAAAGCTATGGCGGCTTGATGCTGTGATGCTAAGTGTAATTCCTGTGGAAGAAGCTTGGTGACTCCACTGTC